AAAAAAAACGCATTTTCCGGATCCCGTCACTCTCTCTTCTCGACATTCTGTTCACTGTCCAATTTATATTTTCAGCGAACATCCAGTCGCTGGAAATTATCCATTCCCTTACATGTAAATTTATGGTAATCATGCATGCTGGCGATTAATATTCCAGGTGGCCCCATAATGCAATACTACTGTCCCAATCGAAGCCCTTCTCCATTCGCATGCGTGAAAAGGCCAAAAGGCAGACAAATACGTCCAAGTACTAAACTATAAAGCAGCAACCACTTATACTATTAATGACCTAACTGCTTCGAGTTTGACGCAAAAACACATCATCGTTTCAGCAAGCCTGATGTGACGCTAGTTGGGTTGTATTTTGCGATACACTCAGTGATGAATATGCATGTGCAGGATGTCCGGCGGTACTATTAAAATGTTGTTAGTGAGATTTTGGTTTTTCAATGGTTGTTACTTTATCGCCTAACCGTAAAGTGTTGCCCAAAAATGTGTCAGCAACAATACAAATAGACGTCTCGAAAAAGTAACATTTGCTAGAGACGTGTAGCTACCGACCGAGCTACCTCGAACAGGTGGCGCATAAACACTGAACGGGAAGTGGATACTGACTGGAGGTATGCAGCTCTGGACAGAAGGACCAGGCATAGCGATGTCCGGCGTGTGGGAGCATCTTGCTAATACCACTAATGTCGGATTGTCACACCGATTGTCTGGCGCTTTAATAATCCCAGTGATGACGAAAATAACAACTTGTCAAATAAAACATGCCTGTGAATGCGGTCATCAAGGCCCACTTCACGCTTTGTTGTTCGGTGTGTTGCCAGTTCTGGTGGTGGACGAATTGTCGCGGCTGCTATTTCAGTATGGCCGCAAAGCGCTTTTCCAACTTTTACCAACTCTGATCCTTGAAGCTTATTTGCGCCAGGGATAAAAATCACTCGTTCTTGAATGAACTGGTCACCCACTAAACGATTCAACGTCATCCGTGCTTCGCGAGTGCTGTTAACAGCAAGCACGAAGAAATCGACGTCAAGACGTTCACGCAGATCTTCCGCTGCATGCACTGCATTTCCACTGTAACAGTAGGAAAATGATCCGGGATGAAAGTGCACCATCTAATGATTAATTTTACTCACTGATTTCATCAACTGTTTGGCACAACGCAATGGCAAGTGGCGCTACTGTTCTGCAGAAGATCAAGAGTTCGACTCCATCACTGCTGCAATCAAGTCCTCTCGATTCCTTCATTTTTTCCGACTTCTAAACAACCAGTGGATGGAAGAAACACCGACAGCCTTGCCAGAAGGTGGTTGCAACTGGAGCGTGTTGATACTCAAGCTAATTTCAAGCAAGCGCGAATACAGAAGGAAGTTTGAGTTTTATCGTGTAATCCTTAGTCAGAAAAGTAATTCTCAAAGATTTTTTTCCAAAAGTTCCAAGAAATGTTGATTTTCTTGAAAAATTACTCACATTACTTCTCAAATAATCAAAATAATACAAAACTACAAACCGATTAACGCCGCTTGTGATCAAAAGCAGGATTCTCCGGACGTATTGACGACCATGCAACTGGAACTGTTCTTTGGCAGCACTAAGACCTTTCAAAATAATTGCCATACCACCCAGCTGTTCACTGTTCATTATATCGGTTAGAAGTTGAATTTTATCATTGTAGTGGCCAAGAGGAACAGGCACCGATGCCTTATCACTGTAAGTAAATGAAAATATTAACAAATGGGTTATAGTAAACAACAGGGAACAATGGGATGGTGAAAGAAAAAACTTGGACGGTTACATGGAATCATGTGAATAAAGGAATCCTAAACAGAGAAAAGTAGAGAAACTGTCGGATGCATCGGCGACGAAAAAGAAGGCGACAATGAAACAACAGCCGAACAAATTATCAAAGTGTGTCCTTTCAACATGAACTATTTTGACATCTAGTCATGAAAGTATGAAAGACTAGCCTGCTTTTCATCATTGTTGTAAGTCAAATCACTGAAAATTATTCTTTAACTTACGTTTCATTATTTCCAACAAGACGTCTTAGGCTGGACTACGCTTCTAAAACTCACTAAGAAACCCAGGCTGGAACGCACCAGGCGGGCCGGTGCGATTATGCGTTTTTGCACTTTTCGTGCC